TGGCCTGCTAGGGCGGGCTGCGGGGTCTGGCCTTGTGTGCCCCTCCTCCTCTTTGGTTGACATGAGCTTGGCTCTCTGTGCTCTTGGGGAGACAGCTGGTCTTCCCACTCTGGATTTTGGGGTGGATGAGCTGTTGTGAGGCAGCCTGAGACTTGCTCGGCTTTAATTTCCTTGTCGGATACCCCCATGACTTTCAGGGCCCCTCCTTGCTCTGATTTCCATGAAGCTAGGAAGCTTTTGTCTTCCATCCTCTTGTAATGAGGACAGGTGTCCTGCAGTCCCACCCAGGCAGGCTCTGTGAGCAGAAGGTGGCAGGAAGGGTGTGGGTGTCAGAGTTGGGCAGGCGCTTGCACTGCTGCATCACTGCAGCCCTGGGCAAGGCCTTTAGGCCCCTAAGCTCCAGGCTCTCTTGTCTGCAAGGTGTTGTGACTTTGGAGATGGTGCAGTTGGTAATCCACAGGTGGTCCGCAGCATCCTCATACCTCTCTTCCAGAGTCAGGACAGGTGACCCTGAGATGTTCTGTTTGTTGTTTCAGCTCATGGGACCAGGACTGAGTACAAGGAATTGACTTCAGGGGAGATGCTTGATGGAGATCTGGGCCAACTCAGGGGGACTGTTCTCCAGGGACCTGAGCTGGGAGAAGCCTGTGGGCACATCAGGGAGCGGGAGGAGATCCTGGACAGGCTCGTTGAGCAGAGCAGCCCCAGGCCAGTCACACTGACCGACGAGGAGCGCAGCCTGGAGTCTTGGGGAAGCCTTAGGTTGAGGCCTGACCCTATCCCTGATCAAAGGCCTCACAAATGCGATGTGTGTGAGCAGAGCTTTGAACAGAGGTCATACCTTAACAACCACAAACGTGTGCACAGGTCCAAAGAAACAAAGACAGTTCCTGATTCTGGGGAAATCTTCAGTGCAAATCCAGCTGTTAAAGAAGATCAGAACATGCCTCTTGGGAAAAAACTGCATCATTGTGGTTGCTGTGGGAAAGCCTTCAGGTACAGTGCTAACCTCGTCAAGCACCAGCGGCTTCACAGTGAAGAGAAGCCCTACAAGTGTGATGAGTGTGGGAAGGCCTTCCGCCAGAGCTGCGAGTTCCTCAGTCACCGCAGGATGCACTCCGGGGAGATTCCCTACCGCTGCGACGAGTGCGGGAAGACCTTCAACCAGAGGCCCAACCTCATGAAGCACCAGAGGACCCACACCGGAGAGAAGCCCTACAGATGCGGTGAGTGCGGGAAGCACTTCAGCGCCTACTCTTCCCTCATTTACCACCAGAGAATCCACACTGGAGAGAAGCCCTACAAGTGCAACGACTGTGGGAAAGCGTTCAGTGACGGCTCAATCCTTATCCGACATCGCCGGACTCACACTGGAGAGAAGCCATATGAGTGCAACGAATGTGGCAAAGGCTTTACCCAGAGTTCTAACCTCATCCAGCATCAAAGAATTCACACTGGAGAGAAGCCCTATAAATGTAATGAGTGTGAGAAAGCCTTCATCCAAAAAACCAAACTTGTGGAACATCAGAGAAGCCACACGGGAGAGAAGCCCTATGAGTGTAATGACTGTGGCAAAGTCTTCAGCCAGAGCACACACCTCATCCAGCACCAGAGGATCCACACGGGGGAGAGGCCCTACAAGTGCGGCGAGTGCGGGAAGGCCTTCCACAACAGTTCCAGGCTTATCCACCATCAGAGGTCACACCACGGAGAGAAGCCCTACAAATGCGCTGACTGCAAGAAAGCCTTCAGCCAGGGCACCTACCTCATCCAGCACCGGAGGATTCACACTGGGGAGAAGCCCTACAAGTGTGGCGAGTGCGGGAAGGCCTTCCGGCACAGTTCCAACATGTCGCAGCATCAGAGGATTCACCTCCGGGAAGACTTCTCCACGTGATGGTGGAGAAGGGCCCATGAGGTATGCTGTGCACCTCTTCGACGTGACCCACTCACCCCTTTATGTCCGCATAGTGTTGTCACAGGTGAAGGGGCATTTCTAATTAAAAACTCTTCCTAAACCCAAACTAGTGCATGTTTGCTTTAGAGAAATTGAGTGAACAAGGTGAGCAAAAGGAGAAGCTCCTGTAGCCTCCCCCTAGACAGAGAGAACTCAGCACTGCTGTGCCTGGCGAGGTTCTGCTCAGACCCACGGAGAACATTCTCACAGAATATACTGTGGTGCTTGTCCTCGCAGACCCTGTTTCCTCAGCTCCAGAAACTTCACACTGGAGAGAAGTCTACATGGTCCATGCTTTTACACTTTGTAAATTAAAAAAATTAGCATATTGTTCATGCTTTCCTGTGTCACTTAATAGAATTGGTAATTGCATTTTTATAGTGGTAAAATACATACAACATAAAATTTCCCATTTTAACCACTTCTAAGTGTACAATTCAGTGGCATTAAATATGTTCACGATATTGTGTAACCATCACTACGTCTTATTTCCACAACTGTTTTATCATCCCAAACAGAAACTCTGCACCCATTAAACAGTAACTTACCTCTCCTTCGCCCGCCGCTGGCAACCTCTTTTCTGTCTTCTGTGTCTATGAATTTGTCCATTCTAAGTACCTCACTGAAGTGGAATCACATAGTATTTGCCCTGTATGTCCTGGCTTATCTCACCAAACACAGTGTCCTCAAGGTTCATCTGTGTTGTGGCTGTGTCAGGACATCACTGTTTAACAGCTGAGTAGTAGTACATTGTTTGTGACACCACATTTTGTTTACCCCTCATCTGTGGGTGGAACGCGGGTGTCTCTGCCTGTTGACTGTTGTGCGTAATGCTGCTTGAACGTTGGTGTACAAATCTGCTTGTACCTTCCCTGCTTCCCATGCTTTGGGGTGTAACTGAAGGAGCAGAATCGCCGGATCGTGTGGTAATGTGGTATTCTATGTTTACGTTTTTGAAGAAGAGCCAAACTTTTCCACAACGGCAGTGTTACCGAGTCCAAACTTGTTCTGCTCGCTGCACAACAGGCCAGTAAACTGGGAGATGAGGTGTTGGGGCAAGGAGTGACAACTTCCTTTGGAAAGCCAGCAGGCCAAGAAGATGGCAGACTAATGTCCTGGAGAACCATCTTCTCCAAGTCAGAATTCAGGCTCCTTTTATACTAAACGGGAGGGGGTGTGGCTGATTATTGCAAACCGTTGTTCTTGTTGCCCTCCACAAGATAAATGTTACTCTCTGTTCTGCAACTCTTTATGTCCCTATGAATGGAAAGTGTTACTCCCTTAAAGGTCAGTCTTGAGAATGGGCTGTCCTGTATATGGCAGGTTCTAGGCAGCATTCTTGCGCCAAAGGTGCAGAACCAGCGTGACTCAGCGCAGGAGACAGCGCAGGGTTAGAGCCAAAGAACAGGCTGATGTGGGGTCAGGCTTGTTCTTTGCTGTTACAGCAGCACCATCTTGCATCCCCACTAGCAGTTCATGTAGGTTGCAGGCTCTCCACGTCCCTGTCAGCACTGGTTATCTTACATGTTCTGGACAAGCCACCCTGATGGGTGCGAAGTGGCTCCTCGCTGGGTCTGGTTTGCGTTTCCCTACTGATGGTATTGAGCAGCTTTTCATGTGCTGCTTTACCATTTCTGTGCCTCTGGGGAAATGTCTTCAAATCCTTTGTCCATTTTTGAATTGGGCTGTTTGTTTTCTGTTGTTGAGGTATAGGCATTCCTTGTGTATTTTGCATAGTAATGCTTTATTAGGTACATTTGCAAATATTTTCTCATTCTATGAGTTGTCTGTCTGCTCTCTTGATAGTGTCCTTTGATGCACAAAAGGTTTTAATTCTTAGGAAGTTCAGTTTATTTTCTGTTGTTGTTGCCTGTACTTAGGGTGTCACATCCAAGAAGTCATTGGTAAATCCAGGATTATGAAGATTTGCCCCTTTGCTTTCTTTTAAGAAATTTATGATTTTAGGTCTTAGGTTTGGTCTTTGATCTGTTTTGAGCTAATGAGCTAATTCGTGTATATGGTATAAGGTAAGGACCCAACTTCAATCCTTTATATGTGGATATCCAGTGTTCCCCGTAACATTGCAAAGTCTTTGTTTTCCCCACTGAATAGTGTGTTAGCTCAAGCTGCCAAAACAAAATGCTACCCCGTGGCTTAAAAACACAATTTTATTTCTCGGATTTCTGGAGGCTGAGATATCCAAGATCAAGGTGCTGGCTGATTCAGTTCCTGGCGAGGATCCTTTTCCAGGCTTGCAGTTGAGCACCACCTGGTGTCCTCACTTGGTGGGGAGAGAGAGCTCAGGGGTCACTTCCTCTTCTTACAAGGGCATCAGCCCTCCGGGGTTAGGGGCCCACCCTTGCGACTGCCAAGCTTTATCACCACTTCACAGACCTTATCTCCACACTGGGTGTCAGAGCTTCAAATATGAGTTCTGGGGGGACACAGACATTCAGTTCGTAACAAATGGCCTTGGTACCATGGTCAAGTCAGTTGACTGTGTGTGCAGTGGTTTATTCCTAGGCCCGTTCTACTCTGTCGGTCTAGCGTCTGTCCTTAGGCCAGCACCACACTGTTTTGATCACTGCCATTTTGCTGCCAGTTTTGAAATCGGTAAGAGTGTGCCCTCCAACTTCATTTTTTTTTCAAGGTGGTTTTGGCTGTTTGGTGTCCCTTGAGATTTCATATGCATTTTAGGATGGGTTTTTCTATTTCTTTTTTTTTTTGGTTGGCCTGTACGGGGAGGTTTTTCTATTTCTGAAGAAAACGGCACTGGGATTTTGACAGGGGTTGTTTTGACTCTGGAGCTCACTTTGGGTAGTGTTTTGCATCAGTTGAAATGTTCAAGTGGGTTTTTTTTTTCATTCCATTACTGTGAGTTGTTACAATGGTTAGTTTTCACGTGTTCACCCTTGCATTCCGGGAGTAAATCCCACTAGGTCAAAAAATCCTTTTTTTTTTAATGAAAAAAATCTTTAATTAAAAAAAATTGAAGTATATAGTCAGTTACAATGTGTCAGTTTCTCAAGTGCAGCATGATGTCCCAGTCATGCAGACATAACTAGTTTAGTTAGTTTTCATATTCTTTTTCATTAAAGGTTGTTGCAATAATAGTTCCCTGTGCTATTATTCCCTGTACAGAAGAAGGTGCACAATCCTTTTAATCTGCTGAATTCATTTGGCTTGTATTTCGCTGAGGATTTTTGTATGAAGACGCTTAAGGGATATTGGGTCCATGGTTTTTTTTTCTTTGCCTCTCTTCGATACCAAGGTACTACTAGCCTCATTTAATAAGTTAGGAAGTATTACTTCCTCTTCAGTTTCTGGGAGGAGTTTGAGAAGGATTGGTGTTTATTCTTGTGAAATGTTCTGCCCGCTTGAAGTGAAGCCCTCTCTGTTGGGCTTTCTGTGTGTCCTTCTATCTGGAGAGTCTTAGGCTGCGCATTAGTTGGATCCTGACTTTAAAATCCAGTTTGCCAGCCTCTACCTTGTAAGAGGATGGTTTAGTCCATTTACACTTTATGTGATTACTATCATTTATCTATTTGTCCTGTGTTTTTGTTGTTCCTCAGTTTCTCTATTACTGCCTTTTTAGGTTTTGGGGTTTTTTTGGTAGTATACCATTTTAATTCCCACCTTTACTTTTCTGTATATTCTAGTTGTTTTCTTAGTGGTCACTTTGGGAATTACATTAACATCCTAGTCTTACAACAACTTAATTTGAATAATACTGACTGAATTGTAATAGTATAAACGCTTTCTTCCTATACATGTCCCCTCTTTATGTTGTTGTCACAAATCACATCCTTATACATTAACATACTTATGATTACTCCCCTATTTATGACACTGGGGTGTGCATATGTGTGATTTGTGATTTATTTGCAATGTGTGATGTATGATTTCTACGTGCATGTATTCTGTGCACACATTTATGAGCATGCCCATCACCATGTTTATGATTGTGGTTATGCATTTGCCTATTAAGTCATGTAGGAAAAAGAGACTTTATGAAACGTAACAGAAGTATAGTAATACTTGGTTTTATACTTACCTGTGCAGTGACTTTTACTAGGTTCTTTATTTTTCATACAGCTTTGAATTACTGCCTAAATATCCTTTCATTTCATTGTACGTGAGCAGTCATTTCTCTGTTGCTGCCTTCAGAATTGTCCTTGTCTTGGGTTTTGATGGTTTGACTATAATGTGTCTCAGTGTAGATCTCTTTTAGTTTATCCTGTTTGGAATTTACTGTTTCTTGGACATACATTTTCATGTCTCCTCAGGTTTCAGAAGTTCCTGGCCATTGTGTCTCCAAATGCCTTCTCTGCCCGTCTCTCTCTTTCTGGGAACCCTGTATCGTGTATGTTGGTACCTTTGACGATATTTCATAGCTGGCTTGGATTTGTTCGCTTTTCTTCATTCTTTTCTCTTTCTGCTCCTTATACTGGGTAATTGCAGTAGTTTTATCTTCAAGTTCATTGATCTGCTGCTCAGATCTGCTGTTGAACCACTCTAGTGAGCCTTTCATGTCAGTTATTGTACATTTCAGTCCCACAGGTTTTGCTTGGTACATTTTGTAATTTTTTGTTGACCTCTGGATGTTCTGAGCATCGTGTGGTGTTGATTCTGGGCTCTAAGTCTCCCAGCCCTCAGGGACTGCTGAATCTTGTTTGTTGAGGGCTCTGACCTCTCTAAGCTTTTTGCAGAGTGTGTATTCTTTGATGTGTTCATCCCTAAAGTTTCTATTTCACTGTCTGTGTGGTCATCCAGTGACCTAACAAAGGTTTCTTTAAATACCTGGCTCCCAAACAGGGAAGAAAAAGGCATGTCTTTAATTCCCCTGGAAACCGCTTTTATCCATTTTAAACCAGTGGTTAAAAAACTGACAGCCAGCCCTGTGCTAGCTGCATGGTGACCAGGAGTAGCTGTCAGCTGTCAGAGCACCTGCTGGTGTTCAGAGAACCAAAACCTAAGTGCCCACCCTGGCTCCGGCACTGTCCACATGGCCACTCGTCTTGGGGCCAGGCGGTGGGCATGGTAGGTGTTGGCTAAATATGGAAATTCACTGAAATTTTCCACCCTCTTCATCAAGCTCTCTCCTGGATGCTGCAAGCTCTGACTGCTGGACAGTCACTCCAGACAGCTCCTGCCAGCGCGGTGGCATTCAGGTGCGCCAACAGGTTCCCGGAGCTTCCTACTCTGCCATCTGCCGTGACATCACTCCCTGATAACTGCCTTTACAGTAGTGACAGAATCTCTGTGTATCTGACATGTTCTAGTTTTATAAAACTTACCATTTGGACATAGTTATTTCACAGTGACTAATTCAGTTCCACAGTAACTTAATTCCTTCATTCTTTTAAACTGTGTCTTAAGGATACATTTCCAGGAACAGGATAACGTTGTAAAGGACACTGATGTTTATATGCAAATGCTTTCCAGGGTGGTTGTACCCAGTATCCAGCATTACCAGCAGTGACCATCAAAAACCACTCCCTGCAGGGTGCGGAGCAGAGCAGTCTTGATTCCACCTTTCCTCACTGCCTGGATGGTGGAGTTGTAACTTGCTGAGTAAGTAGGTGTGGCTGTGGCTGGTACTGCACTTGACTGCCTGATTACTCTGAAGCCTGCATGTCTCCGTGTTGGTTTCAGTGGGAACCACTTCTCCTTTCACACCCTTTGTCCTGTCACTGCTTGTGGCCCAGGTGCCATTTCATTGGGTTGTTTGTTAACCCCTGCTCTGGGGGTCCCTTTGCCTCATCAGCATGGACGTCCCCTGAGCCAGTGGCACTGGAGGGACTGTTTAATGGTACAGTGTGCCTGGGAAAGCGGCAGGCTGGTGTTTGTGTCTTGCAGAACTACCTCTAGTGACCCCACAGTTTCCTTGGCTGTTTTGTTTTGACTTAATGGGGCTGGTAATGTGAGCTGGTGACACATTTTCACAGGGGCCAAGTGTCCAGCCTGTCTAGGGGTGGGGACGGAGCGTGGGCAGAGGGACCCCTTGGTTCTAGATGTTTCCATTGAGCCGTCTTTGGCAACCTTTGGGAGCGATGTCATCCCAGAGCAGAGGCTGCTTAATAGCTCTGGGCAGCCAGTAGCGCATCAAGAGATCAGCAGCTGGGGTCCCACAGTCAGACAGTGAGGACCTGGGCCTGTTAGGGGAGGCTCGAGCCAGCATCCCCAAAGGTCATGGTGAGGCCAGGTGGGTTCATGCTCACATGCTAGGTCTTTGTGCCTGGCTCTGTGCACACCTCTGGGGCAGAGACCCAGGGAGCTGGATCTGTGCCCTCCCGGCCCTATCCTGGGGCTGAGCGGGCCCTCCAGGACCCCCCCAGGTTCTAGTAGCCTCCGGGGTCTCCTTGAGGCCCTGCTGGAGGCGGCCGTGTGGCCTCTCCTGCTGCGGATGGAGGGTGGCCTTGCCCAGGGTAGCACCTGCCCCACCCTGCCCGGCCTGTCCCAGTGTCTTGTGTGTGCAGGCTCCTGGGCGAGCCTCTTCAAGGTGCCTTGTGCTTGTGGAATATTTGGACACCTCCTCGTGGTGGGTCAGTGGCTCCACCTGACCCTGTGGCAGCTGCACTGTCCAGAGTCCCAGACTCAGCACATGGACAGCACAGACTGATGGCTGGGCTGGTCTTCCTGCAGTGATTTAATTCCATGGTATATTCTCCACCGTGACACCCCAGACTCAGGAGGGAAGTGACTGGCCTGAGGTCACAGTAGTTGGAGGCAGGTCTTGACGGCAACATGTTCTTAATCACCTTTGCAGAAAAGACTAACTGGAGCCCAGGAGAGGGCTGGCCTTTGTCCTGGACTCCTGGGTGGTTGAAAAGTCCTGCCAGAGAAGTGTCTTTATCTGCAGCCTCGGGCCAAGCCAGGTGGTCTACACTAACAGTGTGATTTATGGTGGAGGCCTTGGGCTGGCCATGCAGCATCAGCCTGACCTCTGCAGAGGCGGGGGCTGTCAGTCACGCAGGCAGCCAGCAGTGTCACCGAGCCCCACTAAGAACTCTGGACACCAAGGTGCAGGTGAGCCCCCTTGCTGACACCCTGAGCACATGGTCGCACAGCAGTGCCAGAAAGCAGTGCTGACGATTACTTTGCGGGGAGGGCAGCGGAGCTCCACAGTTGGCACTACTCCTGGATTCTGCCCCATGCGATCTCCTGGCCCATTTCTACCTGTCTGTCCCCTGTAACACTAATCACCAGGGTATATTGGCTTTCAAGGTGAGTTCTGTGTGTCCTTGTAGCAGATTAGTGAACTTGAGGGTGATGGTGGGGATCCCTAAACCTGTGGCTGGTGTCAGAAGTCAGGGCAGTCTTGGCGACCCTGAGCTTCACCTCACTGGCATTTCTCAGCTTTTGCACATGAAACAAAGTGTTCTCCAAACTCATCAGACGGGCCAAAGACCCCCAGTGCTGCTCCCACCCCCTACCCCTCTGCGCATGGGCTGGCATTTGGTGGCTTAAACTTCCCAGGCCTGTCCTCTAGAAGTGCCCCTGCCACCCTCAGGGACCCTCTGGGCTACCTGGCACCTGCCAGCCAAGTCCTGTGTGCAGTCACCTTCCTCCAGAGGTGGGTCACACTGTTGTGCCCCACAGCTGACACAGGTCACCAGCGATGCCCTTTCCCATCTGCTCATAGCTCCACCATCACAGCATGGACTTCACTAACTGATGAGCAGGGGGCATGTTTCTGTTTGAAATTGGCACCCTTGACCTTTTGCAGGTTTTCCTGCTTGTGTCTTCTCTTATTGGAGATTGCCCACTCATCTCGATGGCCTCTGATTTGTAGGAGATCCTCACGCCAAGTTACTGATCTTCTTTCACCCATAAACGTGTTCCACGCATTGCTCTTTTATTGGAAAATATGTCAGATTATACACAGTACACCAAAGTCCCGGTGGCCTAAAATATTTCACAAAAAATAGAAAACTTGAAGAGAACTGAGTGTCAGATTCTTGGTAGCCATAAGGAGAAATAATACAAAGATTTAAGTACACAAAACGTAAAGACTTCAAAATAAAAAGTCCAAAGCAAGTACAGAATTCTGCTGACAAGTCAGAGACAGGAGAAAACGCTGAGAAGGCTGGTGTCAGGGTGAGGGGTCCCCAAAGGTCATTCTGGTCTATGAAGCCACTTCCAAGAGGGGCAGACCGCCCATGGGTCCCAGCGGGCCGTATGCTACTCCTGCTTCTTGGGCAAAAATGCACGTTCCAGGGGTCCTCCCCAGGGAGAGGGCCCTAGAGCTGCCCTCCCGGGTCAATGGCAGCTGACCGCAGGAAAGGGCAGAATGATACTCAGGACACGTCACTGGAGAAGGTGGGAAAGCAAACTGTACGTTTTGGAAAGAGTTCCCTCAAAACCCCAGGTTACTGGAGGACGTGGCAATCAGACTTGTACTGTGATACACAGACGGCCTTTCCCAGCATGCATCTCTGTACATTGAAGTTAACTGATCTCTTGTTCTCATTCTGACTGGAACAGGACTGTTTCTTACTCTTAGTTCTTCCACACGGGTAGGACTTATGCCTGAGGAGTGGCTCCGAGCAGCATCCAGTCAGTTGCCAGCCGTGGACTCGGTCAGCAAAGGTGGGCACTTCCCTGTGAGGTCATCTCTGGTGTGAAACATACAGAGGAGAGAACAAGCGTCCGTCTGCACTGCAGTGCAGTGCTGTGGACTTAGAGCTCCATACGCTACTGCTTAATGTTACCTAAGAAGCTGATAATGTTCTCCATAGAGAGAAAAAAAAACTCAGGAAAATTATGAAAAAACCAGGTCCATCACAGCATATGACAATGGGTATGAGACTCTTGGAACTAGGGGTAAAAAAGTGAAATAAAACTTTCAAACATAGGGATAGAAAGGTTAGAAATAGGAACTCTTTTCAGTAACATTTTTGGGAAACACCATAACGTCTCAAGGCACCTGGTCGGTGCAGCAGCTCTGAGGCCCAGTGTCTGAGTGTGCCGGCCCTTCCTGTGTGCACGTGGGCCCAGAAGCCTGCACATCCCACGGCTATGTGCACAGGGTCTGCAGGTCATGATGAGTTTTGAGAAAAAGACCCATTTTTGATTTAAATTTTCATGCGTAAGTTAGGACATCCCTCTGATCCTGAATAAAGTTAAAGCACCAGGTAAAGAGCTAAGTTTACATCACTTTGCACTGATTAATCTTGACACTTTCCCCCTTTTTCATACAAAACAAGTGGTTCCACACACACTTAGGATTTCTAGCCGTATTACATGACATGTGGTGACAATCTTTTTTTTATGTCATCTTATCCACACAGCACTTCAGTGTTTAACATAACACTGAAAATAGGCCCACGTTCTAACTTTAGGTCCAATAATTCTAACAGTCATAATGTCCTAAGGAAAAAAACTCTGAGGTGTAAGGAAGTTGTGTTGTGACAGCCATCCGTATGCCTTAACTTCCTGTAGTTTCTCACTTCCAGTTAAGTAATGCTGAACAGTGAACTGTAGCTGTCTTAACCAAAACTGGCTACCAAGGGGTGACTACTCTGTAGTGCAGCTTCAGGATGTTGAAAAACACAAGAGGCACCCCCTCAAGCTTCCGCAGAGACAACAGGGCCAGTGCTTCCCCAGCCTGAGCCTCTGCGACACCGACTCACCCAAGAACGGCTTCCTCGGGAGGGGCTGGGGGCTCCGGGCCGGGGCCGGGCTTCTGAGTGGGCCCCTCAGGTGGCCGAGCTCACAGCTTCTGGTGCACCTTCTGGTGCTGGATCAGGTGCCCGTGCTGGTTGAAGGCGCGCCCGCACTCCCCGCACTCGTAGGGCCTCTCGCCCGTGTGGATGCGCTGGTGCTGGACCAGCACGGAGTACTGGCTGAAGGCCTTGCCGCAGCGGCTGCACTCGTAGGGCCTCTCGCCCGTGTGGGTCCGCAGGTGCACGATCAGCGTGGCCTTCAGGCTGAAAGTCTTGCCGCACTGCGCGCAGCGGAAGGGCCTCTCGCCCGTGTGGATCCTCTCGTGCTGAACCAGGGACCTGCGGGCGCTGAAGGCATGTCCGCACTCGCTGCACACGTAGGGCTTCTCGCCGGTGTGCACGCGCTGGTGCTGCGTCAGGTGGGAGTGCTGCACGAAGGCCTTGCCGCACGCGTAGCAGCCGTAGGGCTTCTCCTCGGTGTGGATTCGCTCGTGGTTCATGAGGGTGGAGCGGTGGCTGAAGGCCTTGCCGCACTGGCCACACTCATAGGGCTTCTCCCCACTGTGCACGTTGTGGTGTTGGATGAGGACGGAGCGGTCGCTGAAGGCGCGGCCGCACTCACTGCAGGTGTAGGGCTTCTCCCCGGTGTGGACCCGCTGGTGCTGGAGGAGCGTCCTCTTCACGCTGAAGGCGCGGCCACACTCCCCACACTCGTGCGGCTTCTCCCCGGTGTGCACGCGCTGGTGGCTCCGCAGGACGGTGCTGTGGTTGAAGGCCTTGCCGCACAGTGCGCACACGTAGGGCCTCTCGCCTGTGTGGATGCGCTGGTGCTGGATGAGGTGTGAGAGCTGAGTGAAGGCCTTGCCACACTCAAGACACTCGTGCGGCTTCTCACCCGTGTGGATCTTGTGGTGCTGGGCAAGGTCCGAGCTCACCCGGAAGGCCTTTCCGCACTCGTCACACTCGTACGGCTTCTCGCCCGTATGGATCCTCCGGTGCTTGCTGAGCACGGAGCTCTGGCTGAAGGCCTTGCCACACACACCACACACGTAGGGCTTCTCCCCGGTGTGGGTCCTCTGATGCTGGAGGAGGTGGGAGCTCCGACCAAAGCACTTGCCGCACTCCACGCACCTGTAGGGCCTTGGGGCCTGGCCTTCGGGGGGCGCGGCAGGGCCAGGGCTCGGGCAGAGGCTCTGCTCAGGTTTGCAACCTCCCTCCTCCGCCCACTTGGCTGGGGCTTGCCCCACAATCGCTGACGTTTCCTCTGGGGTGAGCGGCCTCAGGCGCAAGTCTCCATCTTGGTTCTGCTCCTTGTTTTCACATCCTGGGATGATAAAACCACAATGAATGCGTTAACCCTGCTCAAAACTGCAGAGTAAGTCAACCCTGAAGGTGCTTCGCTGGACAGGGTGGCCGGTAGGGCTGTGGCTCGAGTGCTCACAGCCAAGAAGCCACCAGCTGGTCTGAGACTGTCCCGTGAGGTGCATGCGCGGTCGCAGCAGCGGCCTCAGCCCACACCCAGGACTGTGGGGGGAGCTGTTGGGGAACCACATGAGCTCCTGCGTGCACATCCAGCAGACGCACACGGCAGGACTGTGACACACGGGAGACCCTTCCACCTGAGCCTGGCGGGTAAGGCTTTTGCCCTGGAATTCTGCGCTAGGAGGCACACCAAGCGACAGCCAGTCCATTTCACCCAGTCCTGCTTTACCTGTGATGAGGGTATTTCCAAGTCCCATCAGCCTTCCTGGTGCTTTCTTTAATGGTAACAGCATTACTAAACTAGAAGCTTCACTTTTTAATTCACTCAGAATTTGGTTTGAGAAGACAGGTGCTGTATAGTGGGCTTCCTCAAACCCAAACACGGACCCGTGAGAAACAGTGGGCTCAGACTCAAAGCAGTACCCCACCAAGCACGGGGCCTTCTAGGACAGACGTTTTGAGTGTTTGGAGAGATTTGTGCCAAGGCAGTCGGCGAATAAAACGTGCTCGATTTGTCCTGCGAGTCTCCTGACCTGGAGGGATCAAGACATACCAGACACTAACCCTCCTGCAAAGGAATGGAGGTGGCCAGCCCGCAGCAAACCCCCTCCAAGGGTCACCTTGGAAGAGGCAGGAGCAGGGGTGGGAGACCTCCCCAGGGTCCCTTCCAGAAGTGACACTGAAGACAAAGGGCCCACCCAAACTTCAGCTGCCCCTGAGCTCTCCAGGGCTCAGGTGGGTGACCTGCCCGCAGCCAGGCCTCTCCATCTGGATGGCCCACCAACACATCCAAGTCAAAAGTCCAGAACAGAACCTCGCTCTTCCCTCCTCCTGTGGCCGGGGGCCTCCAGGACCCATGTCTCCCGACTCCGTATCCTACTCTTCCAACATCAGTGCCCAAACCTGTGTTCCTGTTGCCAACCAGGTACCATCTTCTGCCCCAGCACTGCCTCCTCATCCGGGCCCGAGGGCTCCTCACTGTGGCCATCAGAAGCACGCAACCCCAATCTAGCAAAGTCTTGTGACCGCACGGGCCAGTCCAGTCGTCACCATGTTGTGTAAAACGATGTGTATCAGTCGATCACTTTGTTAACGGCGTCCCCCCCAGGAGATGGAGGGAGCATCTCTTCCAGCAAAGCCAGATAATCCACAAAATCTCAACTTTCCTGAATCTATCACACAGAAGTGAGGTCACATACAGCACGAAGACAGGCCCATGGTGGCTGTGGCTGCAGGGAGGGGTAAGAATCCAGCTTAAACACCCAAGGAATTGTTGACAAACCCCTGGCAGCTGCAGACACAGGGCTCGTCCTCATGGGCTCCCCTGGGGGTACAGGTCTGGAAGAGGGGGGAACCCTTCTTTCTGGAACAGAAGCCGAGAGTCACTGGAGGCGTCTCCCCACTCCTGAGGACAGATGAAATCGTGGCTGGGGGAGGGAGAAGACAACCCTCTGCTCCGGGGATGGGGGAGACAACCACAGGCCCAGACAGTCAGAAACATCCTTCAGCTGGGGAATGGCTGAGACTGAGGAGCCAGGACAGCAGAGCATCCCCTGGTTGCACTTCCCCAAGTCTAGCAAGCACTGACGTATAGAAGCACACAGGAGGCTGGGTGTCCTCACTCCACAGACAGGAAGTTCCAGACCCACAGCTTACGTCTTCCACTACCGTCCCACAAAAGATCGGTGACCCTCAATACGCATGTACACACGGTCAAGAGACTGAGCAATAGTACAACCAGGCCAGGAGGGGGCCCATGTGTTGGAACAACCTGCACGGTCACACAGGGAAGAGCAGCGGAGAGGAGCCTCCGCGAGGAAGGGTCCGATGGAGCAGTGGGGCAGAGGGTGCCTCCGACATGCTCATCCTCCAGTAGACTCAACCTGACTAAGGACACAACCAGGGAGCCTGAAGTACTTCGACTGAAGGGGGAAAAGTGAGTAATAAACAATGAACAACAGCGGGCCGGGCACCCCAGAGCTGTGGGCCAACACCAAGGAGCCCAACTGGCATGTGGTGGGATCCCAGGAGGGTCAGAACAGGGAAGCAAAGATACCTGAGAAAAAAATGGCTGAGGTTTTTCTAAAAACAGTGGGAGAAACCAAAACACAGATCCAAGAAGTTCAGAGAAAGGCGAACATGTTTCCTATTCAAACTGCTAAAAACCAACACAAAAGAAAATCTTAGTGGCAGCTAGAGGGGAAAAAGCCACACAAGACACAGGAGCCAAGTAAGAATCAGAGCAGATGCATCACCCAAATCACTGAGTCAGAAGACTAGCTGTGCTGAAAGGGAAAACCTGCTAGCTTACAGCCCCATACCCAGCAAACATTCCTTTCAGAAAAGAAAGACAATTTTTTGGAAAGAAAACCCAATGGAGAGAATTCATAACCATCAAATCCACCCTAAAGTAATGTTAAAGGAAGTTCTTCATGGGGAAGAAATACACGTGACAGAAACTTGAATTTGCACAAAGTGAAGATTTTTGGAAATGGTTAAAGTGAAGGTAAATGTGAAAGACTGAAAAAGTTTTCTAAATCACTCTAAAAAGACAACTGTCTAAAGCAAAAACAGTAGTTACACATTGTGGGTTTACAGCATATGTAAGCCATAAAACCTATGACAGTATCAAAAACATTATAGACGGAGGTACAGGGAAGTTGTCAGATCGAATGTTTGTCCTCCCGAATTTGCACTCTGAAGGCCTAACCACCCCCGGCCCCACCCCCGTGTGGTGGCATTTGGAGGCGGGGCCTCTGGGAGGGATGAGGCCTCGTTGAGTTGTCAGATGGGGCCCTGTGACGGGCTCAATGCCCTTCGAAGACACCAGAATGGGAAGGCGCCTGACTGGACTTCAGCCTCCGGGCCTGTGAGACGTGAGCTTTCTCTCTGCGGCTAAGCCCCCAGTCACTGGCGTTTGGTCCTGGCAGCCGGAGCAGGCCCGTACGGAGGCAGGTCGTGAAGTCCCACACGGCCGTGCGGCGGTGGGCTGCCAAGAGATGGACACTGACCCCAGAGAAGCCGCTAAACATCGTTGTTCCTTCTTCCCTCTTCTTTCTCCTTTTAAAAAAAGTTGTTAGGTATTTCTCACGATTCTGCCGCGTCTCCTGTGCTGGCCTCTCGGCGATGGCCCTGTCATTCCAGCGCGGCTCAGCGTCCCCGCCGCAGCCTCGGTCGGCGTCAGCTGGCCTGTGCTTCTCTGTGCAGGGTCTCATGTCTGGCTGCTTCTCAAAGGTTCTTTGTCACTCGTTTTCAACAATTTGATTATGATGTGGTTTGGTATACTTTCATTCGTATTTATTATGCGCAGGATTCACTGAGCTTCCTAGACTCGTGGGTGTATAGTTTCATCAGATCTGGGAAGATTTCAACTGTCACCTCCTCCAATATTTTTCTGACCCTCCCACTCAGTCATATATAACAGGATTTTTCATGTTGTCTCACAGCTCACCGACACTCTATTTAATAGTCTTTTTGAGCCTTTCTTCTGTTTCCTTTTTAATTTAGTAATTAGGTGTGGTATTTATTATTTATTTTTAGAGGAGGTGCTGAGGATTGAACCCAGGACCTCGTGCATGCCAGGCATGCGCTCTATCCCTGAGCTGTATGCCCTCCACCGGTTCCTTTTCAGTATTTTCCATGACTTTGTTTTCAGGTTCACCAATCTTTTCTTCTGCAATGTTTAATCTGCCACTGATTTTATCCAGTGAATTCTTCATCTCAGACACTGTCATTTTCATCTCCAGAAATTCATTGGGATCCTTAAGAAATCTTCCATGCTCCACCTAACATGCTCAGTGTCTGCTCTGCCCCTTGAACGCACGGAACATCTTTTCGTTTTAACGCCCTTGTCTTCAAGCCCTGTAGTCCCTGTCACTTCTGGTTTCACTCGCCTTTTTTCTTCTCACTGTGGGTGTGTTGTCTTGCTCCTTTGCACGTCTGGTGTTTGTATGAGGTGCTGGGCATCATGGATTTCTCTGTCCCCGGTGCTGGGTATTTCTAGGTCTGGCCAGAGCAGTGTTTGAGGCCCTCCCCGAACTCGTGAGGGCAGCCCTCCTCAGCACCCTCAGTGGTGGTGCCCTGAGTCAGAGGAGCTCTGCTGCTGCTGGGAAGCAGGCTGTACCCAGCCTTGTGTGAGCACCCGGCACTCATGAGCTTACCCTTCTGCACAGCCACAGTTCCCCACGGCGCGGCTAGGTTCTCCACTCAGGGTATCTCCAGGGTGAAATAAGGTATCAGCCAGTCTGAAATCTCCTGTGGAGACTCAGGGCATAAATCCACTTCTAGGGTCATTTTTATTGCTGGCAGTGTTCCATGGAGCTGCAGGACCAAGGGGACTGTCTCCTTGTGGAAGTCAGCATGGCCACGTCAGCTCCCGCCTCCTGCATGCATCTTCAAGGCAGCCGTGGCGCATCAGGGCCTTCTCATTCTTTGAGTTTGACTCTTCTCTGACCTCTAGACCCAGATTTAGAAGGTTCTCCATTCCGTAAAGCCAACAGTACCATTGAACACAACCTATTCATAAGAGGAAAACCCATAATCCAGTCCTAGGGATTTTTGCAGGGCATGCACACCACAGCACAGGGGTCTTGGAGGTGCCTTGGTCAGCTCAAGTGTCTGACAAAACACCACAGACTGAGGAGCCAGAACAGCAGGTGGCAGGGAAGTTCACAATTAAGGTGCTGGCAAGGAAGATTTCATCCTGAGAACTCTTGGCTTGTGGGTGGCCACCATCTTCTCTTGTGTGTGCCAAGACACAGAACTCCGGTCTCTTCTTACAAGGACATTAATTCTTTCAAGTTAGGGCTTAACTCTTACGACCTCATTTAGCCTTAATTACTTCCCTGAAGGCCCTGTCTCCAATACATTCATGCCGGGTCCAGGGCTTCCGCACACGAATGGGGCCCTTCACAAGAACCACACTTGATGCTGGCTGCCACAGCTTCAACTCCCTCCAGTTCCCTCAGGCAGCGCTTCCCTGGCCTTGGACTGCTTCCTTGCACATGTATGCTACCTGTACATGGCTGAGGATGTGGGGGACTCATATCTGCAGAATTCTCTTTGTCAAACTGACCCCTCTCTGTTACTCCTCTGTGAGAACTCCAGCCACCTCAGCATCCCTGGACGCCTAGCCAGGCCTCCCTAACCTGGGGAGGCTGGGCTTGCCGGGTTCCCCTCCCTGCTCTGCGACCTTCTCCAGGCTGTGAGAAGGGCGCACCTTTGTTTTCTGCCTCCCAGGGACTCCTTTCCTTCACTGACTGACTTCCACCGAGACACTGACGTCACACATCCTGAGAGGTGCGGTTTCATGTATCTTGTTCAGTGTTGCAGTTGTTTCAACTGGAGGGTAACTCTGGTCCCTCTTACCTCCCCTTGAACGGAAGTGGAAAACCCCCTGCTGCTTCTTTTTTAAAGCAGTTTAATCTTAGAACCCTGTGTCTCTATATCAGAATTTAGTTAGGCGTATTTCTGAGATTTCTATAATTCCAAGGTCCCTGGGTCTTCACAGCCTTCCCCTCTCAACATCGTGTTTCTGGGAGTCACTCTGTCCTCCCGCAGCAGTTACCCAACCATGTCCACTGCAGATGCTCTGTCATGTGTCTTTGTGTCTGTCTGTCTATCCTGCTGCTGGTGGGCACTTGGGTTGCTCCCAGCGTCTTCACCTGAAGCCTCTGTGAAGACTCCTGTGCTGTCACATGTGTCCTCCTCACACAGGAATGTCTGACAGGGGGGTTCATACTCAGCCTCACCAGCTGATGCAAACTGCTTTCCAAGGTGAGTGTGTGCCTCCCCACCCCCCATTAGCTGCTCCACACCCTCGCCCACCTGGGTGTCGTCAAATCTTTCCATTCTGCTCTGTTCTGAAGGTGTGACACAGTATATCACGGTGGTCTTGACATCCACTTTACTGACAGGTAATGAAGGATGAGTAGTTTCATGTTTACTGGCCCTTTGGTATTTCTCTCCTATCAGAACGTGTTCAAAGCAATTACATGGAGAATAAACACAAGCCACTAAAAAACCAGTGGATCATAAGCCAGAAAGAAAGAAAAATGCCATGGTATCACTTATATATGAAATCATAAAAAAAAAGGACACAAAGGATCTGCTTATTATTTATAACTTAGATGACTGAATTCCTGAATATGTGTAAGCACATGTGACTATCCTTTATGACTGGATTGCTGCATTCTGCTGATTCTTATTTTGTGGTTGGCTGTACTCCTTCGATAACTATGTTTAAAAAGCTAAAGCTCTAAACTGTTCTTAGAAACAATGAACAGTACAAACATGTAAACTTAAAAATATATGTGCAACATATTGTATATATGTATTTACACATGATATACTGTATACATGAAAATTGTAACAATTCTACCTAATAAAACTGAAAAAAGGAAAAAGAAAATGGGTAAATGATGAAATCAGAGGAAATTAAAAAATACCTCAAGAGAAACAATGAAAACACAACCATACATCACCTATGGGACGCAGCAAAACCAGTTCTAAGAGGCAAGATCACAGCCATACAAGCCTTCATCAAAACACAAGACAAATGCCAAATAAACAACTTAACCTGCCACCTGAAAGAACTAGAAAAAGATAAACAAACAAAACCTATAGCAGAAGGAAGGAAATAATGAAGATCAGTATAAACACACAATGGCATATTACTCAGTCATAGAAGAGAATGAAATAATGCCATCTGCAGCAACATGGGTGGACCTAGAGATTATCATACAAGTGTAGTAAGTCAGAGAAAGACAAATGTCACATATCACTGTTTATATGTGGGATCTAAAAAATAGAATAAATGATCTGATTTATAAAACAGAAAAAGACTCACAGACATAGAAACAAACTTACGGTTACTAGCGGGGAAAAGGGGGAGGATAGATTAGGAGTTTGGGACTAACAGATACACACCACTAAATATAAAATAGATAAACAAGGATCTACTGTGTAACACAGGTAACTACATTCAATGTCTTGAAATAAACTATAATGGGAAAGAACTAAAAAAAAATACACCTGAATCACTTTACCTGAAACTAACACAATATTGTGAGCCAACTACATATCAATTAAAAGAAAAAAGAACTTGTTTATGTTTTGCCCACTGGTCTTATTGGGCATTTCTTCAACTTTTATTCTCTTCAGAGGAATGATTTATTCGGTGTGTACTGAACTGATAAATGGTAATAGCATTTAATAGGTTCTTCATTTAAAAAAATCTGAATTCACTGCCATCTGTATAATAAGACTTTTATGTATTTTTCAAAAGTTACACTATGTGTTTTTTAAAATAGTATACAAGTTTTGGCTCTTTGGTTTTTGACTTACAAGCCTCATCTTCACTGAATAAAGCCAGCAGATCAAAGAAATAATTGCTCATTTGCGTTGAAAAGTATCAAGTCTAACATTTAAAGCTTCCTGAACGGGTGGCTTCTGGCCTGATGCCAAAGTAACGAGATGAGGAAGATGACTGTGACACGGGAAAATAAATTAACTGCACAGCGATCACTCCCTCAGTCACCCACAGCAGACAGACTCAGGCTGCCCAAGAGCCGGGACAGGCGCCTTCTGCCCTCACTCTCAGATGCTGTTTCAAGCACAGAGTAGGGAGGAATGTTCTGAGTGTGACAAGACAATACAATTCCACTGAAACACATTTTGAATTAAAAAACCCTCCCTGATGTTTTGTGGAAACTGTGCTGTGTGAGAACACACGCTCTGCCTCAGACCACCGTGGGAATCTACATTCTGGTGGCCTACAAGCACCTTCAAAAGACTGTACTGGATGAAAAAGCAGCTCAAACGTACACTCACCCCATGGACAGGACGAACTGTCTTGATGCACACAAGCCGTCATGTGGTCACACGTGAGGCCGCCTGTGAAAGGAACAGAGTTGAAGGGACAACAAACACTTCTCCATTATTTGCTATTATAAGACAGTACAATTCTGAGTGAGAAACACAGGGCCCGGCAGGGGCACACGCTCCTCTGTCAGAGCCCTGGGGCCCCAGGCTGCAGCAGATAGCCCTGCCCTGGGCACACCATCTCTCAGAACCCCTCCTCTGAGGCTGCGGGTGGGGTTGGCTGGGATGGGGGTACCAGGTTCTTCTGTGCAGAAGCTTCTCCTCTCCAACCTGCCACACTCTGGGGGAAATCTGTCTCTTTGGCATCAAACCCGAAGGCACTCATCTAAGATCTCCGTCAGGTGCGACTGCAGCTGCCACCAGGGAGCCCGGGTCTGGTGGGCAGCAGCTGTCTTCCCACTGCGGCTGCAGTCAGCAAGCGGTTTGGAGTTCTGCACAAGATTTCAGGTTTCCTCGACACGATGCTGTGTCTTTCCCTAAGTTCACTGGAAAACTGAATTCCTCTGGGGCCAGCACACTCACTGCTCCTCTGAGGATACCTGACCTCCAGGGTCATTAAGGGGCGGGCTGTCTGTAACACCTGGTGCCCCTCCGCACAGTCCTCAGAAACAAGGGGGGACGTGCCACACCGGGACCCTGAAGCCAGGCAGAAACATCCTGAGGGGCCACATCTGGCAGGACAGGCTAGCTGAGGCTTCCCGAGACTCAGATGCCCCTTCCTTCACTGGACGCCTCTGTTTCAGGAACTGCTGGCGGCCACCTTCCCTTCCACACTGTCCTCCATGAAAGTCTGGACATCTTCTGTTAGATTAATCACTAGGTATGTCCCATCTCTGGTGCTGCAGTAAATGTTATCTCTTAAAAAGTCACACCTTCTAAAAAAAACACTTTTTCTCTTGTTTTTGTAAACTTTAGGAGATGAGGGATGTTGACTAAACTTACTGTGGTCGTTATTTCACGGTGTACGTAAAGTCAAATCATTATGCCACACTCCTTAAACATGTGGTCCGTATGTCAACTGTATCCCAATAAGATGGTGGGGGGGGGGGAGAAAAAAAACACACCTTTGCTGCTGATGAACAGAGTTGAAACTGATTTTGTCCCTGTAAATTCTCTCCTGCGAATTCTGATCAATCCTCTTGCAACTAGACACTCCCATGAACTACAAGCAGCACTTTTCTTCCTTCTTTCCAATTCTTACAGCTTTAAGTTTTGCTGTGTGTTTGTGTGTCTTGCCTCATACTCAGTGGGACCCCAGCAAAGGCCGTGTGGCTGGGGTGTGTGCTCCCTTGTCTTGTTCCTCATCTCAGACGGCCTGCTTCAGCTTTCCTTCCTTCTATCCTAACTTAACCAGGCATCCCTCAAAATCTGAACGTCCCATAAGAACAGGGCCTCGCAGGGGCATAATCACCACATGCACTCCCCCTGCCCAGCATGCTGCCCCTCCACGCTCACCCCTGCACTGGGCCTTGGCCTGGCCCGGCCCAAGTGGAAGCCCCTGGTCCCCCACCAGCACCCACAGGTGCTGGGACCTGCTCAGCCCCCAGAGAAGGAAGGCTGGCTTCTCACACTCACCTGAGTGCTCGCTGCCCAGGCCCCTGTGCTCCTCTGCCCCCTGCCTGTCCAGGACCCACGGCTCTTCTCCTCGCTCCAGCTGGGAGATCACCCTGGGCTTGGATCCTGGAAGTCCTGCTCATACACAACAGCTGTGAGCACCCTCACCCTCCCGCGTGGCCTGCAGGCATGAGACATGGCCCCACCCCGGGAGACCCGCTGCCCCCAGGGCCGAGCACAGACACAGATGAGGCCTGCTGAGGGGCCTTACCCAGGGAGACCACGTTCCCGTAGGTTTCCATCATCACATGTCGGTAGAGGCCCCTCTGAGCAGGGCCCAGGCGATCCCACTCCTCCTGGGAGAGGAGCACAGCCACGTCCTCGAAGGTCACCTTGGCCTGGAAGGACAGGGGCTGCTGCGGGTCGGACTGAGTCTCCACATCCGAGTCGAAGTGGGTGTGAGCAACGTGGGGTATGGGGAGACACCCTGGGACACAATGAGGGGGTCGTAAGGGGCCACAGAGTTCATGGGAGCAGTGGTGTGCAGGCTGCCAGCAGGAGTAGGGGGAGGACCAGGTCCTGCCCAGGCCACAGGGGCAGCTCACCTGGGGTCCCGCCAGTGGCGGCAGGAGCCCGGCCGCTGCCATCACCTGGTCCCCTCGGGTCTTCGAGGAAGACGGAAATTGGAGGAGACTGTGGGACTGAAGAAGAGAAGGGAGCACGTGAGGGGCCCAGCCTTTCCACCCACAGAGCGACATGGATAGACAGACCCAGGTGCTATGGCCCTGGGCCCAGGAAGGTCCCACCTCTGAGATGCTGGAGGATGCTATGCACCCCAGGGCTCTGGCCACAAGGCTTTGCTCTCCATACCCCTGGGGTCCTTGTGGTCAGCTGGTTGCCCTGCCACTGGGGAATCATCTGCCCAGCTCACCAGGCCTGGCCCACAAGACACACAAAGGCTTCTGTGGGAGCATCCACCAGGGCTTTGAGAAGCCAAGCTGTCACGTGGTCTGGTCTGGTGTGGGTGTGGGCCACGGGCCAGGCTGCCGCCAGAGACGGCCCCCAGTGAGAAGCTGGAGGCCTGCACTCCTGTGGGGACCCCACCCAGGCCTTGTACACTCAGCTTCAGCACAAGGCTCCTGTGGGCATGCCAGTGCACGGCCATGCCTGGCCTTGCCCCAGTGGCCCTGGTGCGCCCACGGGGCAGAGGCTGTCAGCCTGGGGGCGGCTCTGGTGGTGCAGCGGAAGCACGAGATGCAGTGGGTTCTGGTGGATGAGCCCAGAGTGGTGGGTGGGTTCTGGGGGACACATCAGGACAAGTTAAGCTTGTGTCCATCACACCTGAACTGTCAGACAAAAGGGGGGACCAAGAGCTCTGCTGGCAGGGTAAAGGGGCTGACATCTTCTGGAGGCCGAGGGGGGTTGCAAGAGGGACACGGAAGCCCAGCAGGCAGATCACTCACGAAAGAGCAACACAAGGCTGAGCTCAACCTCCACACGTGGGCCCCTCAACAAACAGGACAGACACTTCACCTCACACCGAGGGTCGCCTGCAAGCAGAAGTCACGGAGCTATCACCCCATTTTTTTGGTGAACAGCAGGTGCATGAGTATGTTTACATAGATAACCTTCAGAAAGACACATGCTGAACTCCAAATTGTGACCGCCTCTGTGGGACAGGAGGCTCTGGTGAGAGGCTGGCCCTCACTGCCCCATCCCTCGTTCACCAAAAACACCCATTCCCTCCAAATTTGTGTGTGTGTTTCTGTGTGTGTAAGTGCAACACAACTCTAATTAGAATTCCAATAGAAGCCTTCTGAAGTGAATAAAACTACCTTAGAATTCACCTGAAAATGTGACGCTGGGTGACAGGCAAGAATGGAATTTGAAACAACAGGGAATGGTCCGTGTGGCCAGGTGTCGGAACCTGCCGTAGAGAAGCCAGCATCCCCTGACCTCCCGGCGGCTAACCCATCCCCACAGCTTGAGGGCAGCACCACCCCTCCTGCCTCTCCATCCCCTCCAGTCTCCCTGTCCCCTCCCCGCAACCCCATGTCCCACCCCCAACTGTGTCCCCTCCTGGGTCTCCCAGACCTGCCTTTCCTTGTGCTCAGTCATCCTCCCCATGGCTTTGTGCAGCTGCCTCCCGTGTGGCCTCCTTCCCCTCCACCCCAAGCGGCCCTGGTAAGTCTTGTATGACCTCATGCAGCTAAATTCTTGTCTACTGCTAGCAGTGGGGACAGTGGGTCACCTTGCCCTCCAGCAACTCAGTCACCACTAGGTCTCCTGCGCACTGCCCTCTCCGTGGGGGCCTCTGTCCTCCTCATCTGCATGAGGCACTGACCTTCGTGAACAATCCAGCTTGGTGCCCTGGGAACCTGGCAGAGATAGGCAGCCATCTGCACCATGGCCTGACAACACCTGGGCCAGGGTCAGACAAAGAACACCAAGAGGAATCCCATTCAGGGCCTCCTCAAGGGGTGCTGGCGGCTAGTACAGCTGGTCCAGGAGGTGTTGGCTCATGCGGCCACGAGGCGTGGGCCAGGCCGGCTCCTGCTGCCTCCTGACTCAGTGTCTGTGCACCTGAGCTGCCTCCTGCTCCACATTCACTACATACAGGGCACTGGGAGTGGCCATCATACAGCCTGGATGTTCAGTGAGTCCAGGGGCTCCTTTTTTGGTGCTGAGCTGGCAATCCTGTCCTCCAACTGGACATCTCCACATGGACGTCCTCTAGTACCTCAGACACTTAGCACCCAGCAACGAGCCCCACTTCGGCCCCAGCTGGTCTGCACACCTGCATCCAATCCCCATCCTGAAGGAGACTTCCTCCTCGCCGTTCACACCCCAGTCCTGATCCAGCCTCTGTGTGCGCCAAGGACCTGGCCCCATGGCAGAGTGGTCCTGCCCGGCCCAACCGAGGGAACATAGTGACTGTCCTCCAGCCCCTGCCCAGGCCTCCCCTCTGCTGGGTGGCTCCTGCCCACTGGATGACATCTGGCCATGTCGCCCTCTCGCCGAAGCCCTTCCTGAACCCCCTGGGAGGGCTCTGCCTCACTCAGTTCACAGCAGAGCAGACAGCAGCTCAAAGTTTGCGGAGTAAGTGAATGAAACTAAAGGAGCAGTGAGACCATACATCACATCCTTTAGAGCAGCAGCAAGCACCAGGTGAACATCTACTGCAGGACACGCTACCCCCAACACCGGGACAAGTACAAAAAGCACCCAGCCCAGAGATGCCCGCCCACCCACAGCTCAGGGTCAGTCTTCAGATGCAGGATTTTTGTTTTTGGAGATTCCCCAGGAAATAACCCAAACCAAACCGAAACAGATCAACGTCCTCTGCACCAGTGGTCACACTGCAGTGAGACGCTCTGACTCACAGGAACTAAAAACGGGACTGCAGAAACACAACTCAGAATTTACCTTTATTATTACTATTTTGTTTTGTAAGCTAAGCTATAGGAACTTGGCACTCTTGATGGAATTACTGATGATCTTGATGTAAAATCATGCCTGTCCTTCCCAAGACCCAGCCCACAGTGACAGGCTGTGACAGGCACACTCCCAGTCCCCTCCCTCCTCCTCCCTATCCTCACCCCAGGTTTTCCAGCTCCAATGCCCACTGCCTCCTTCTTCATCGCCACGGAGCCCAACGCTCCAGGTGGAAGCACCTTCCAAAGATGCAGTTCTGAACCACCTGAAAGCACAAAGCACAACCCTGCCACCTTCCGAAGCAAATGACCACAGATGTGCATCCAAGCAGCTTTCCTACGCGCCAGCAACACGGAGTCAGGAAACACACAGGAAAAAAGGTTCTGTTCACAGGTGCAACAAGAAACAAGCTTAAAATAAACATGAGAAATGAGACGTTAATTCTGCCCCCGTGTCCACAAAGCCATGCCAAAAGCCAAGAGGGCCAGGACCAGAGGGGCAGAGCAGGGCCACATCTGTAAACACACGGAGACAGGCCAGGCTGTCAAATTTCGAGAAGGTCGGCCAATAAGCAGAACTGGACAATGGTCTAAAAGTGGAATATATGTGTGTTCCTGTATGACTGAAGCACTGTGCTGTGCACCAGAAATTGACACAGCATGGTAAAGTGACTACACCTCATTAAAAACAAAGAAACAAACCAACAAATAAAAGTGGACCTTTGCACAAAGCTCAACCAACCTCCCAGAGAGTTGAGCAAAAACACAGATAAAATTAGATCATTTTCATCCCATAAGCCAAAAGTGGAATGAATCCTTTCAGCTAACGAGTAAGACCTAAATTTTAAAATTACATCATAAAAAGAACTTGAATAAAAGTACAGGTAAATTTTTATCACTTTAGACGGGAAAGGCCTTTCTCAGCAAAATACCAAAAGCAGAAAGCCCGCGGGGTGGGGCACGGATCTGCATGAAAATCCAACCCTTATGCACATCAAAACACCGCGAGTCCCAGGAATGGGCCGGGACAGGAAGAATCTGACACAGGACAACGGTGGTTTTCCAAGTCAATGGAAAGATAGTTTTTCAATAGGTAGAGTGCCAGACATATCAGGATTTAGGGGAAAAACTGCTGTTAGATTCCCAACTCGCCCCCACGCCAGAACAGATTCCAGATGCAGCCACCGTCTCATAAGCACGAGAGGAAAACAGCGGTTTATATTAAAGCCAGTCTTGGAGGGGCCCCGGCGCAGAGCCAAAGGCCTTGAGAGTAACATCTGAGCGTTAAAAACTTGAATTCTTCCGGCTCAAAACGCCCACACCAGAACAAAACACGCCATCCGGGTCACATGCAGCTTGACAAGGACGCACTCAACACCCACGGCCGGACGGGAATGGAGGGCA